AAAAAACCATCTGATTCACTAATGTCCTTTAGGAAAGGAAACTGCCATCCTTACCTGGTCTGGCCTACATATGACACTAGACCCACAGCAATGTAGTTGACTCTTAACTGCCCTCTGGGCAATTAGGGATGGGCAATAAATGCTGCCTCGTCAGCGACGCCCTTGTCCCGTTAATGAATAAAGGGACCAAACTGGACTTAATACACTGATCAAATGTTTCGCTGGTACTCACTGATCCCTCCCAGAGTAAATGTGCAGGGAGTTCCTCCAATGCTGTTAGTATTATTGTAGATTCAGGAGAAGTATCAAATAAGTGATAACTAAGAAACTAAGCATCAAAATATATGATGTCAGTAGAATTTGAGTCTATCAAATCTGCACCACCATCCAATGAGGTTTTCTGTGTTCTGATGATCCTCAACTTCACTTAACTGCATTTTCCTTATAAACCTTAGATTTTTAATCAGTAAAGGAATTATCTCAACCTTGAATATACCTCATGATTCAGCCTCCATAACCCTCTTTGGTAAAGAATTCCACAAATTCACTCCCCTCTGAGAGAAGAAGTTCTTCCTCATCTCTGTCTCAAATGGATGACCCCTTATTCTGAAATTATGCCCTCTGGTCCTAGACTCTCAAGGGAAAACAACCTTTCCACATCTAACCTATCAAGTACTTAAAGTCCTTGTATATTTCAGTAAGCTCTCCTCTCATTCTTCTTTATTCCAATGAGTACCGGATCAGCTTACTGAACTTTTCCTCATACGACAGCCCCTCAATTACTGGGATCAGCATAGGGAATCTTCTGTGGACTGCCTGTAATGCCAGTATGTCTTTCCTTAGGTGCACAGAATTACCCTCCGCTTTCCAGCTGTGTTCTTGATTAGTGCCTTGTATAGTTTTAGCAAGAGATCCTATTTTTGGAGTCCATTCTTTTTGTAATAAAACCCAGTGTATTTGCCTGCCTTATCGCCAGCTGAACTTGCGTACTAGATTTTTGAGATTTATACACAAGGATTCCCAAATCCCTCTGTGCTGTAGCTTCCTGTAGTCTTTCTCCACTTAAATAATATTCAGCCTCTCTGTTCTCCTTGTTAAAGTGCATAACCTCATATTTTCCCACATTATATACTATCTACTGAATTTTTGTCTACTCGCTCAACCTGTCTATGTCCCTCTGCAGGCTATGTCATCTTCACAACTTGTCTTCCTTCCTATTTTTGTCATTTGCAAACTTCACTATACTGTGTTTACTTTCACTTTGTTAATATATTCTTTGTCAATAATTATGGCCCCAGCAGTGATCCCTGTTGCTCTCCAGAGGTATGGCTTTGGGCGAGTATAGGAGCAGTGACAGCCAATACTATTATGTGCAATGATTGGGCATAAATTTGTCCTCCTTGGTGTAGGTTTTGCACCAGTGATCAATCTGCCCCCTCTTCCTTGCTGTCCCATCTCTTTCAAAAAATGAGAGAAATAAACCAGTTAAATCATACTTGCTGCAGACTGCAGCACTGGTATTATTTATCTATAATTGTGAAAAATCATAGCAAGATGAACAGAATAGAGATGGTAAGTTGTACTCTGGCAGAATTATGCTATCTTGGAGAAGGAAATGTCACAAACTCCCTTGTGTATAATAAAAAAAAATCTAATTGGTGGTCAAGTTTATCTCCAGAATCTTGGCATACCACAAGTTTAATTTTTAATGCCTCCTCCCTCAAGCCTGTTGATGGAAGTGTCATTTTGTTTGGAAGCTGTCAATCTCGCCTTAAAAAATGCAAAACAACATGCTTTTACAAGTGTTGGTGTAGTCCTTTTGCTAATGTCCACCTTCTGTTTAAAGCAAACATGTCCAGTACAACCATAGCTAGATGTACTTTTAGATGTTTGAGCTTACTGATGTTTGCAGTAATTTGCATAGGTTTAGAAATAACGTCAGAATTAACTGCTGATCTATAGTTATTGCCTACTACAACAGTGAAATTTACTTCAGTTTTATCTGAACTTGCAAAAGCCAAGATTCTGTCAAATTTGATGTGGTATCTTTTGGTTGTTAAAGGTGCTTTGTTAACTAATGACAGTTTATCTTGTCAGATGTATTTTAGGAAACTACAATCTTCTGTCAACACAAGTTTTATGTAGAAATTTTAATGCTTGACCAGATCATTATAAAGTTGGGAAACAGATTCTTCAATCCAATTCATTCATACTGACTAGATATCCTAAACTGATCTAGTCCTATTTCGCCCATATCCCTCAACCCTTGCTATTCATGTGCCCATCCAGACACCTTTTAAATGTTGTAATTGTACCCACCTTCACCACTTTCTCTGGCAGCTCATTTCATAAATGTACCACCTGTGTGGAAAAAGTTGCTCCTCAGGTCCCCTTTAAATCTTTCCCCTCTCAACTTAAACCTATCCCCTCTAGCTTTGAACTTCCCTATTTGTGAAAAAGACCTTGGTTGTTCACCCTGTTCGTGCCCCTCATGATTTTATAAACCTCGATAATATCACCCCTCAGCTTCCGACACTGCAGGGACAAAAGCCCCAGCCAATTCAATCTTTCCCTTTAGCTTAAACCCCCAAATGCCGGCAACATCCTTAAATCTTTTTTGAACCCTTTCAGATTTAATAGCATCTTTCCTATAGCAAGGAAACCAGAATTGAGTACATTATTTTAAGCGGCCTCACCGATGTCCTGTACAATCGCAACATGACATCCCAAGTCCTATACCTGATGCTCTGACCAATGAAAGCAAGTGTACCAAACATTACCTTCACCACTCTGTCTCCCTGCAACTCCAGTTTAAAGGAACTGTGCCCCTGCACCCCAAGGTCCCATGGTTTGAAAACATTCCCCAGGTCCCTACCATTAACTGTACAAGGCCTGCTCTGATTTGCCTTTCCAAAATGCAACACCTCACATTTGTCTAAATTAAACTCCATCTGCCACTCCTTGGCCTGATGGCTCATCTGGTCAATATACCATTGCACTCTGAGATAGCCTTCACTGTCTACTACACCACCAGTTTTGGTGTCAGCTGCAAACTTACCAACTTTACCTCCTGTATTCACATCCAAATCATTTATATAAATGACAAAAAGCAGTGGACCCAGCACCAATCCTTGCAATGCACCACTAGTCACAGGCCTCCAGTCCAAAAAAACAACCCTTTACCACCACCCTCTGTCTCCTACCTACAAGCCAATTTAGTATCCAATCAGTTCCGAGGAAGGATCACCGGACCAGAAATGTTAACTGTTTTTTCCTTCACAGATGCTGCCAGACCTGCTGGACTTTTCCAGCAACTTTGTTTTAGTATCCAATAGACTAGCCTCCATGGATCCCAAGTGATCTCACTTTGTTAACCAGTCTACTATACGGAACCTTGTTGAATGCTTGCTGAAGTCCGCATGGACAATGTCTACCACTCTGCCTTCATCAGTATTCTTTGTCACTGCTTCAAAAAAATGTCAGTCAAGTTAGTGAGATGTGATTTCCCACGCACAGTGATGTTGACTGTCCATAATCAGTCCTTGCCTTTTCAAATTCATGTAAACCTCATCCCTCAGAATCCCCTCCAACAACTTAGCCACCACTAACATCAGGCTCAACAGTATATAGTTCCTTGGTTTTTCCTTATCACCTTTTTTAAGTAATGACACCACATTAGCTGCCCTTCAGTCTTCCGGCAATTCGCCCGTGGCTTTTGATGATACAAATATGTCTCAGCAAGGGCTCAGCGATCTCAGTTGAACCAAAGTGTTTCATTTGAAGTTGCTCACTTGGTTTTTTCCAATGCAGCTTCATATGGAATTTAAACTCATGGTTTTCAAGCCATTCCTGTACGAGAAATACCCTGGAAATGTTTGTACACTCCTCAGTTTTTTTCCTTTTCTCTTTTAGCTTTGCTGATGTTACGTAGGTTGAGCACCTTGATATGAACTATCACTTTTGGATTTGGCGGCTCATTTTACAGCCAGATGTCCTTCCTGCCACTGGTCCTCTGTATTTTCCTGAACTGGGGACTGGTACCACTAGGTGCTGGCCTGCCTACACCACCAGCTGGGTTCTTTTATTGCCATCAAGCATGAGAAAAAATGTTTTGCCATACTGTAGAATCCTGCAGTGTGCAAACAGGCCATTCAGCCTGGCAAGTCCACAGCGACCCTCCAAAGAGCATTCCACTTTCTTAGCCTTTCCCTGTAACCCTGCATATCCCATGGTTAATCCATCCAACGTGCGAATCCCCGCACACTGTGGGTAATTTAGCACAGCCAATCCACCTAACCTGCGCATCTTTGGACTGTGGGAGGAAACCGGAGCACCCGGAGGAAACCCATGCAGACATGGGGACAGTGTGCAAACTCTACACCGACAGTTGCCCAAGGCTGGAATTGAACCCAGGTCCCTGATTCTGTGAGGCAGCATTGCTAACGACTGAGCCACCATACAGAAACAAAGGTAACTTGGTGAGATACAGAAATCTGAGGATCTCTCAGATTCTCCAGAGTTTTTGGAACTCCACCCTCCCCACAACACCCCCGAAATAAAAACATGATTTGAAATTGTTTTGTAAGTCAGGGTGCTTAAGTGGAAAACTAACCCTGTGTCATTTTTATGTTTGAAAGTCCTTGTATCTTTTTTTTAAACTGCTTACCAGTGTGTTCATTGTGTGGGTCTAATCCAGTCATTTCTATAGATGGTGAAGAAATAAGTTAGCTAAAGCCCCTTCATTGTGCAACTCCAGCTAATGGAATGGAATCTACTTATTCTAAAACTTATTTGTTTTGTGATGAAACATTTTGTTTTATTACTGTAGCTAATTTGAAATTTTCAAGTCGTCTATTATACACTTATAGGAACGAGTGAATGGTATCTGGAGAAATGTGAAATAAAGCTCTTCTTCAAAAATGGGTCATTTAATACTCTCTCGATCAAATTATTTGCCAGTAGAAACAGTGAGGTGCTGAATATGTTTTGTTTTTGCACAGCTCCTTAGAAACACCATGAACCCAGTATACAGTTCACCTGCTTCGGGGGTTCCATATGCAAATCCGAAAGGAATTGGATACCCAGGCAAGTTGATAAATTAATGCTATGCCAGTTAACAAATGTAATTAACTATTGCTGGGGAATGCAGGAGTCTAATGATGAAAGGTTACATAAAGTATTGAATGCTTGTGACTTTAACTCCAAAAATACGTTGAACTCGTTTAGGGAGCTTGACTGAAGAATACCAAATTCTTGCATTCTGTTGGAAGATTGGGCCAGCGTGGTGACTATCATTTCTGGGACTGGGTTTGAAACAGGCTATTGGAGACGTTTTATTACTGTGACTTTATTGTAGTTCATTGTCCGCTGCCAATTTCAGTGATTTCCTCTAATCTCATTTACATTCATTCACTCTGTCATTAGAATTTGAAATGTGAAGAATTGTGCTTGAAAATGGACATGTTAGTCAATGATCATTGTCATGTTTATAAAAAGGAGTGCATAAGATGAATTTTTAAACCATTGTTTCTTCTGTCTTTAGATAATGATTCTGAAACTGTTTAAACATATCAAATGGTATAGTCTAGCTTTATATTGGATAATACTTCTTTTCTGTGTCGTTAGTTTCTGTGTACTGAGCTTGTGATTATTTGTCTCCTTGGCAATTCTTTAGGCTAATTTTAAATTCACATTTTTTTAAACTATGCAGGTTTTCCAGTGGGTTATGCAGCAGCTGCTCCTGCCTTTTCTCCTACAATGTATGCTGGTACAAACCCAGCCTTCCAGACAGGTATCACACTTGTTAATGATTCTATTCACATCAGCGGTCGCACATAGCAAAAATACCTTTTTAACCTTAAAGCACTGATTTTCAAGCCACAATTATTTTCTTAGCGTCTGTTTTTGGATTGAAGCTGAGCAATTTAAAATGTTGTGAATATGCAGATTTAATCTTAAAAGGTTAAAAGTAATAAGTAAATGGTTGGGTGTCTCTAAATCATTAAAGGCATTGTTTGTAAATTTATGTACCAATTTAGTTGAGCGATATCAGCTTAGTTTGTTCTGCTTTGACATGAAGGTTAGCTCCAAATCCAGAGGACCGTGACCTCGAGTGAAATCAAAAGCTTGCATCCCAAACGTCCGAAAATAAGAAATGCTTTGAAGCACACTAATTATGATGGAAAAAGCAAGAGCTATTTCATAAACATAATACTGATATTTGTAGGATATGTGATTGCCAGTAAATCAGACTTTTGATTAATAAGGTTGTGCTAATTATGTTAGCTAGATCATGGGGTGGGGGCTGGATGGAGGAGATCTCAGCTCTTAAAATAGATAAGTCGTTTCTATTCTACTTTGCTGAAATCTAATTGTTGATTACGTGCTGAAGTTGGAGCGTGAACTGATAGCCAACTGACCAGACCATAGGGCAACTAGTGAGCTTCATTCACACTCTCCAGAGTCTTCCTTTCTTAAGTTCTTGTGACTTTCAAAATAATTAGCACAGGGTCAGTAGTACTCCTAGTAAATCTACAGGGAATTTGAAGCAGGCAGAGAAGATTCTTTGAATGCAATTCAGTTTTCATTTCAGCAAGTAAAGAAATCAACCTGAAGCCCCTTTTAAGTTCAAATCTCATGTGTATTAGAGAATAAGGATTTGTTTTTCCAGTCTTACATTTGCAAAGCTGTCTATTCCAAGAGGAGATTGCAGTGTTCTGAAATTAAGAGGTGATCATAGTCATAATTCCTGTAAGTTAGATTTGTTTAACATTTTCTTAAAATTGCTAAACGTGCTGAGCAGTGGTCTAAAGTTAGGAATTGTAGATACTTGCAATCAGGGAGTTGTTAAGATAACTGAGGTATTGAGTGTGAAACATCTGTGGATTTTAGGAATTAAAATGTAAGTTTCATTAGACGTTGCATTTTTCTTCAGCCTGTTATTTATTTGAATAGATGAAGGCAGTTGCATATGGTTGCTTATCAGTTTGCTGATTTATGGTCTACAGCTGTGTGTTTTTGATTGGAAGAGGTCAATTGGAGAATCACTATCATGTTATTGTCCTCATAAAGTTGGGAATGATGGAGATATTATGGTTGAGTATGCAATATTGGTTGATATTGTGTGCAGAGGACTCCATGTTTCCAGAGGGATATAGATTAAGTGAGAGGGCGAAGGTCTGGCAGATGGAGTTCGATGTTGATAAATGTGAAGTCATCCATTTTGGTAGGAATAACAGTAAAAGGGACTATTACTTGGACAGTAAAAAAATTGCAGCATGCTGCTGTGCAGAGGGACCTGGGTGGCCTTGTGCATGAATCGCAGAAGGTTGGTTTGCAGGTACAATAGGTAATTAAGAAGGGAAATGGAATTTTGTCCTTCGTTGCTAGAGGGATTGTGTTTAAAAGCAGGGAGTTTATGTTGCAGCTGTTTAGGGTGCTGGTGAGGCCACAGCTGGAGTACTGTGTGCAGTTTTGGTCTCCTTGCTTGAGAAAGGATGTGCTGGCAGAGGAGATTCACTAGGTCGATTCCAGAGTTGAGACAGTTGGCTTATGACTAGAGGCTGAATAGACTGGGATTACATTCATTGGAATTTAGAAGAATAAGGGGGGATCTTAGAGAAATATATAAAATTACAAAGGCAGTAGATAGGATAGAAGCAGGAAGGTTGTTTCCACTGGCGGGTGAAACTAGAACAAGAAGGCATTGTCTGAAAATTAGGGAGAGCAGATTTAGGACTGAATTGTGGAGGAACTTCTTCACCCAAAGGGTTGTGAATCTCTAATTCCCTGCACAGTGAAGTAGTTGAGGCTTCCTCGTTGTTTATGAAGGTAAGATTTTTTGAATAATAAAGGAATTAAGAGTTTTATGGTGAGAGGGTGGGTAAGTGGGACTGAGGTCATGAAAAGATCAGCCATGTGATCTTATTGAATGGCGGAACAAGCTCAAAGGGCCAGATGGCCTACTCCTCCTGATTGTTATGTTCTTATGATATAACCAGAGTGAGAAAATAAATATTTAAGGGCTCAGCATCTTTAGAAGCCTGACCAACCTGCTAAGAGAAGCAAGGGAAGAAACAGCAGAAGCTCTGAGTATCATTTTGCAGTTCTCTCTGCGTATATCCGTAATACTGGAGGTCTGTTAACGTTGTGCCATTGCTTAAAAGGGGAGATGGAATGGATCAAATAGTTACAGACCAACCATCTTCACCTTGGTTGTGGCAAAATGTTTCAATAAAAGACTTCTGAGGACCCAAGTTGTCATTTAAATGACAATTAATCAATATTTGTGTGTTTGTCAAGAGAAGTTGTATTTTCCTAATTTGCGTAAATATTTTGAGCTACTAAAGAACATCAATGAGAGTTGCATGCTGGATGTATGGATACCTGGATTTTAGCAACAAATTTGACATCGCTGAGGTATATGATGTAAATGTAAGCAGCATGACTAATTTGTTTGCAGATAAAATGAAACTTGTTTGAGAGATTAATTGTGAGGTAGAAAGTTGTAAAATATAGGATGTTATCAATGGATGGATCCAGGTAGGCTAAAATTGTCAAATAGAATGCATTCTGGAAAGATGTGAGTTGAGGCAATTGGGAGATCAAACAAAACAAAGCAAAAGAACACAAAGGATAGGTTACTAAAGTGTAGAGGGTCATCGAAATGAGTGTCATTGAAAGTATGTGTCCACATTGCTGAAGATAACCATAAGTATAGTGCTGTCTCCCTTGTCTTGGTCTTGCAAAAACTGTGATTGCTTTAGACAGAGTACTGAGGAGATTTATGACAATGTTGCTTGAAACGGCGAATTCTAGCTGAGTTTGTTTTCTCTGGATCAGAGGAGGCAGAGATTAGACTTAATTTATACAAAATTAAGTGAACCTAGATTTACTCCAGGGCGCTTTTTTTTTGATCTTTGAAAATTGTTTTAGTTTTCAAGGACTCATTTTTGACTCTACATACGGAATTATTTACAAAGTGACTCAATCACATCACAAATGTAGCTTCTGTATTTCTCTTGACATATAAGGTGCTTGACCTTGCACAGAAGCAGATTTAGAAGAATTTATAAATATTTTCAATAGTTCTATTAACTCTCCCTTACACTTAAACCACCAGATACAAGGAAAGCATTAATTTCCTGTTATTTAATTTGGTTCAAGACAATAGGCATAAGTTAATAACACAAACTTTTTCAAAGTAACTGGTGCACACTTCCGCACCCAATAAGCCATCACTCTGAACATGTCATCTTCAGACTGTTAATTTCACAGTTAGTGAGTTTCCTTTGCATACACCAATCTGGAACATGTTAGTTAGGAAGCTACTACCTATTTTACTGCATCTCCAACCTCAACCTCTCAATTTAACAATTGATGCGCACTGTTCATTTTAACAGCATCCATTTACACTTTTCCCTTTATAGCAGCTCAAGAATCTCTGCAGTCCTAAACTCAAGTATTTGGTTTCATTCATAAGAAGTTAATTACCCCCATGGTTTCATGTTCTTCTGGCTCCCAGTTTACTGAACATATTTTTTTTTTGACAGGCTTACAATCCTTCTTTCCTTTGCAGCCACCATTTCTTTGCCCTCCTTACAGCCTGTTTATTCCCTAACAGCACCACTCATCTCCCACTCATCCTCTTGCACCACCTGTCTACCACAACCCCTTTTGCAGGATTGTTCTTCTGCCTCTTCACTCATCAGTCACCACTCACGCCCACTTGGACCTGGCAGATGCCCTGCTAGGTTAAGTGGCACAGCTGTTGGCAAAAGCTGACACGTCTGGCCCATTGACTCTCTCTCATGTATGGCTTCATTTACTAATTGCTTTCTGTTCCTCCAATCACAAGCTGTGTTTCTCCTATCTTTGTTGTGATTCGAATCTCCAGTGTACTTACCAGCAGCAAATGCATGACAGAACGAACCTGTAGTTGGAGGAGCAGGTCTGAACTGATTCTGTGCATTTCACTTTTGGGGATGAATTGTTCTGTGCAGCTTTCTCGACCATAAACTTTGCTTCTCAGAGTGACTTTGAACCTCTGGTTTGGTATTGTTCTAAAGTTTCTGTATTATGTTTTGTTTCAGGTTATACACCAGGCACACCTTATAAAGTATCATGTTCTCCAACCAGTGGAGCAGTGCCACCTTATTCCTCCTCTCCCAACCCATACCAGACAGCTGTATACCCGGTTCGAAGTGCCTATCCACAGCAGAATCCTTATGCGCAGGTCAGGGTTGGGTCATTTGCTGAAAAATCTATTAGATATGGCATGAGTTTGAAAGCCAACAGCTTGGGCTTTGTCATTTAATAAAGCTAGCTAAGATCTCTGTTAAAGAATGAACTAATTTTCTTGCTGTGAAACTCTTAAGGTTTCTGAAAAATGGCTTCGTGTAGGCTGATGCCAGTTATTGTATTACAAATATTCTTGACTTGTTCATAATGAAATATGAATGCTTGCCCACATAAACTCACCTGTACTCATTTACAACAAATTATTGGAGCTTCCTTAGATATGATCCTTTACCACTTTTTTGCATTTTGGTTTATGCCGTTTTGAAACATACTAGAAATCCTGAAAACTTCATTTCTAAATTGTGTTCCATTGCATTTCCCAAGTTTACATTAGGTGCTTCTGAAATATTGATCACTAAAATATGTCCTATTTCTGCATTATTAATGTCTGAAGGAATAAATCACACGCAGGCATATCACTGTATAAACGCAATGATATTCATGCATAATGAAGATTGTTTTGCGTTCCCAGCTTGTTCAAGGTTACGTGATTAACTACCATTTTATTTAAAAATTCTTCAAGGTAGACCCCAGAATGGCCCACATGGTTTTAATTATAGGGTGATGAGGAATACATCTAATTTCTAAAAAAAAAAATCTCTTTAGCTTGTTTTGAGGTGGCTGATTGTGTGCTGTTTGACATCATCCTTGCAGTTCGTGGTTGGATGGAGCATTGTGAGCAGTTTCACACCCTCAGTTCTCAGAACAGCCCTTGCTTATTGAAATTATTAATTCTGAAAATCAGCAATTTAGAAACATCCCTTTCTTAGTACGAAAGAAGCAGACGTATATTCCAACAAATGATTTAAGCTAAACTTCTGGACACTTCTTTGAAAAAATTAGTTGGGTTTTTTAGTTAGAGACAGAAAAGAAGACTGCAGATGCTGGAATCCAAGGTAGACAAAGAGGATGCTGGAAGAATACAGCAGGCCAGGCAGCATCTGGAGGGAAGTAGCAGTCCACGTTTCGGGCATTACCCTTCTTTAGGACTTGGATGAAAGGTAATGGAAGGGTAATACATGAAACGTGGACTGCTGCTTTCCCCCAGATGCTGCCTGGCCTGCTGTGATCTTCCAGCCGCCTCTTTGTGCATTGTATTTGGGTTTCTACCTAGTTAACATAATTTCAGCATTGAAAACTCAACTAATGATTTTCTTTTTACATGAACTTAGATGGAAGAAAAGGCATGCAGTTTCTGCAGCTCAATTTATTGAAGTTACTGAACAGGATCACAGTTGATAGTGTTGGCTGTAGCTGTTGTGTTTGGGAAATGGCAGTGTTTCTGCATTGATCCATAAATTCTGTGCTCTTCAATGGTGGGGTACAGCACAGTTGGGAAAAATATTTCTTGGTGTGGTTCAGTTAGCTGCCTCTACAGTGTTCTACTCATGCTTCATCAAAAAACATATCTTGGTCAGAAATTCATGCTGCTGGTCATGAATGTAAAAGGATGGTGAGCATTAAATGACAAAATAATCAAGTTAAGTAGCTCACAGTAAATTAGCCTACTAAAACCCCAGCACAGTTATCTACCTGAAGCAAAAGATTGTACTAATCCCTGCATCTGAAAAGCACCCAAAATTGCTGAACCTTAAAACCATGATGCAATTTTTAGATCCTGAAATCGAATTGCACAGTTTGTGTCGATCAAATTTGGAATATATAACTCAAACTGTGTACCTGCTGAATTTCCTATTGTAAATTATTCTATAAAAATGGGACATGTTGGGAAATTACTTCTCATTTTCTTCCCATTGCTGAAGAGGAGCTGAAATAATGTTTTGTGAATTAAGGCTCAAAGTATCCCACAGAATTAGTAAAATCTGAAGTGTTTGCCAAAATACAGAATAAGTAGGGGCAGTACTCACTGAATTAAGAAAACAAAACCTATCCAAATACAGTTCACTATATACTTCACAGTCTCTCAAATAATTCTCAAATCAAATGAAAGCAAGTCTACGAGGAGTTTAATTACAATATGGTTAATTACAACCACTTCTACTTGCAAAAGCATCTGTATCTTCCAAAACACAGAATTTACCTTCTCTGACTGCAGTAACTACAATGGTGTGTCATTGTTTAGCATGTGACTAGGGAGCAGGTTGTGGTTAAACTTTGTATTCCTGTGCTACACTGTCTGCAGCATAATATTTCAGGGCTATTTTTGTGGTAGCAAGACATTTGAAGGAGAATTACATAGTTTTGATGCAATTTAAAGTTTTTAATATATCATGACTTTCAGTAATTGCGCTAATTTATTTTTTTCTTCTTGCAATAGCAAGGCACTTACTACACACAGCCTCTATATGCTGCGCCGCCTCATGTAATTCATCACACCACAGTTGTTCAACCGAATGGGATGCCTGCTGCTGTGTACCCACAACCAATTCCATCACCCAGAGCAAATGGTGTTGCCATGGGAATGGTAGCTGGGACCACTATGGCAATGTCAGCAGGTGTGTAACAGCATAAACTAAATTCTTGTACATTTTCTTGCAATGTATATTTAAGATTTAGCAGGCAACTGTATATTAAATATAATGTGCTTCAAATAGAGCAACTTGAAAATGTGTATATTGAAAGATTATAGAAGACTCATGCATAAAAATGTTAAATATTTTAAGGTATCCAATTAGAGGATATATTTTTCAAGAACAAAAATCACTTTTGGCGTCAGTTATGGAATGTTTAATTCTTAGAACATTACGTTTCTAATTCAGTGTATTAACATTGCCAGCTCTGTTTTTACCCACTTCAAAAATTGGATTTTAATTACGAATTTACAGCTTTTTGCCCAAATCAATATCTACCCTTTCTCACAACTCCATAACTAAATCCCTCCAGTCATACCCCTTCTGCCACAGTAATGAAATGGCTGTTGTAAAAGGCACAAATGATAGCCTGTGTGACTATGATCTTAGCAAATATCCTTCCTCATTTGCCTCAGACTGGTTGAGACCAATAATATCTTTTTTCAGTGTTGCACCTTTCTTGTCCAGTTAGGTAGGATTACTTATGCCACATTTATTCTCCTCTACCTAGTTGTAATGAATGAATCATCTGCAGTAGCTTCTGCTATTGTTCATGAAGAGTTGATCACTGGAGTTCCTCAAAGATCTATGTTTGGCCTGTTCCTCATGTCTGTGTTGTCCATCTGCAATATCGTCCTCATAACCAACTTTTCTGATCTCACCATTGTCTCTTATCCATGACATTGTTTGGCTGACATCTAATACTGAATGAGCAGAAGATTCCTTCAGGTGAATCTTAGGAAAGCTGTAGCCATTGACTCAGGTCCCTTCTATGTACTCTGTTTGCTGGCCATCCACACCAGCGCTGTGCTTGGCAGCTGATTTGAGACTTACTACAATTCTGAACATTATGATTATCATATTTGACACAGGTGGGTTTCTGACTATATTCTGAGCCATCACCAAGACAGTCTACTTCCACCTTTGTAACAATGCTGATCTCACCGCTTTCACCTCATCTACTGAAGCTTTCATCCATTCTTTTGATAGATCTAGACTTGACAATTCTAATGCTCTGCTGGGCCACACTTCCACTTCATATTCATGTAGAATGCTGTGCCCCATTCTAACTTGTTCCAGCATATTCGGGCATCACCACTATATTTGTTGACCTGTATTGGCTGCTGGTCTGAGATGCCTCCGTTTCCAAACTCGCCCCAGTTTCCAAATTCCTTCAAGGCCTTTCCCCTCTACACCTCTCCAACTTCTTTGAGTCATACAGCTTTAAGGGCTTGTGTTGCTCCAGTTCTGGTATTTTAAATTATAGTGTTTGCTTTACTATTGATGGCTACGCTTCAAACTATCTTGATCATAAGTTTTAGTTTTCCATCCCTGAGCTCCACCACCTTTTACTTCTTTAAAATTAGGCTTAAAACTTTCATCTTTGACTTCCAGCTTTTGGTCTTCTAACCTGATGGCCCCTATTGTGGCTCAGTCTAAAATTTTGAACCCTCTTGTAAAGCACCTTGAGATATTTAACTATGTAGTACACTGTATATAATGAGTTGTTAATCTGTTGGTGTGATTGGAACCCCTGTAAAAAATGTATGAAGCTTCTGGCTGCTTTTAGGAGTGTTAATAATCTGGTTTGTCAGACTTCACGTGCATGTGTCAACTTGTTTCTGGAAGCTGAACCAACCCAAGCTGGTCAAACACAAGTTGAAAATGCTAAAAACTGTGTGGCTTGTTTTTGAGTGATGAATACAATTGGCCTCCATCAAATTAATTAATTTTCTTAAAGCAAAAACAGTGCTGGAGAAACACTGGGTCTGGCAACATCTGCAAAGAGAAAATAGTAAATATTTTGGATTGTTGAGCTTGACACATTAACTGTTTTCTTTTTACAGTTGCTGCCAGATCTGCTATGCTTCTCCAGCACACTGTTTTTGTTTCACATTTGCAGCATCCATAGTTCTGTGTTATTTTTCTTAATGACTTTGGCTTGAGCTCATCGTCATTTTGAAAAGGAGAATTGACTTGAACATAAGCCTAGTTTCTTTTCTACATTCAATTGTATGTCCATAAGATTTATTAAAGAGTTTGTGGCAGGAGAAAAATGTGTAGCAATTAGAATTCATATTGTCTGATCTCTAATTAAAAGTTTATCTGTCACTCCAGTTTTTTCTGAAGGTATAGTTTTTTTTGTAGCTCTTTTTTGAGCATGTCTCGTGCTTGAACAGAATTTGGCATTGAGATTACGTTTCATTTAAAAATAAATTATTTTCTTGCAGGCACTTTGTTGACGACTCATTCCCCAACACCAGTAGCTCCTCATCCCGTTTCCTTGCCTGCTTATAGGACTCCGGGAACGCCTACCTACAACTATGTACCCTCACAGTGGTGATCAACCAGTAAATGAAAATGCAAGTCTGCCTTCTTTCATTGTAGAGCAGTCCCTTTTAAAATTTGGGCAATAGTAGCGAACTTAAGAAATTAATATTTTTAGTTGTGATAACATGTCAGATTTCTGTTCAATTTTAGTTGAAATGCAAATTCAAGAGCAATTCAGTCAGCCAGATTTGTGTTGCGCTGCTAATTGTATCATGCCTGGAATATTACGTTGTCAGGATTGCTGTTAGCTTTGGACATTGAACTTCGCAAGAGTTTCAGTTCAATTAATACAACTGCTTTGGATAGACTTTAAGCTCACTTCATTAAAATGGGAATGAACGCTTCACAGCTATTCATGGGAATGGTAGCTCCATTTCTTCGGTGCACTAGTTGATGACTGTTGCACACGGAATCTCGACCAATTGTAGTCGTCAAGTAACACTTGCTGGAATAATGTACATCTCGGTTTACAGCATAGCTGTGATGTTTTTCCACAATATCAGGGCATGAGTGATTTACGTTGTTACTTGTGCCAGCTATGCGCACACTTCCTGTCCCTCTGCGTACCCGTGAACCTTGTGAAACCTTAGCATGAAATAAATCAGATATCCAGTTTGCTGGATAGCAGAGTTTTAATCGTGGCTGCCCCTTTAATTGAAGCAGAGGATGCTCTGACTTTGTAAATGCAGATTGATTGCTTTACCTTAAACATAGTTGGCTTTTTATCAAGCTTTACTAAGCTATCTGGTGAACACAGAAGACTTAGTTTCACAAATACTGACTGGAATGTGGTCTGTTAAATCCAATTTAATTTTCAATACCTATTGAACACTTCTGTCCATTCACCAATATCTGGTTCCTTAACATAGTTGATCACAAATGTAGAATATTAATATCAGGAGAAAAGATAGTAGAGAGAACATGCAGCTGTTCTGAAGTTGAGGGTAGCAATACCTGAGAAATGAGTTATGAAATAATTACTCCCTTCAGAGGTTGTTTTGAGACTGTAATATGTTTCTGTGCCAAAGGCAGAACATGTGTTTTGAAATGAATGTGTCACTAACATCTGAAAGCAACTACAAATGAGAAACCTTCAGTTACCTCCGGGCGCATGCAACTACGTTTGCTGTCCATATTACGCCTAGGAATTGATTGAAGCAGCCTTAAAAATCAACATAAATAACGTTAGATTTGTGGGAAATTTGTAAATCAAGGCTCAAGTCAAACGCATTTTACCAAAATAAAAATGAGCTGCTGCTCACATAATCAAAATCACAGCTGATGGGAAATGTCTTCTTAATTATGTCATTTCCAATCATTGCTATTTTCATTTTGACATATCCTAATACATTCTGGGCAAATTCTGACCGATGTTTGTCAGTAGAGTATCAGGGAGCTCCATTATCCTGTAGTAGCTAGGGCCAAATTTGCCATTTAGGCAAATTTTCTGCTTCTATCTTTATTTTAATAATGCTTGAATTTTGTTAGTTCACCAATAGATTTTGACATTCTTGGCAATGGAGCATTGGTTTTCTCAATAGCATATTCTGAACAGCTAGGAGTTACAGACAGCACGACTACTGGTGCAAGAACGCAGTTACAAGACAGGTTGACATTTCATTTTCCATTGTAACTGTGGACATAGGAACTGATGCTGGGAAAATTTGATAACAGTGGCATGTGTGTGACAGAAAGGAAGAATTTGAGAGACTGGAATCCTTGCGTATACATGTGCTCTTATTCAGGAATCTTCCCTCTGATTGGCTCAAGCATGAGATATTCTCACTTTTCCTGTTCTTCATTGTTCCGAGAAATATTTGAAGTAAATTTAAGTTTCAGAATAATTCATATGCTACCTGGAGTAAGAATACTTTTCACCTTCCAATCCACTCATAAGCAATGGGTCTACAATTTAATGTTTGCAAAATGCAAAGAGGCTGAAATATGACTAAGTAAATCATGCAATTCTAATTTTCTACATGCTGCAGTAGTCAAGTCGGTATAGTTGGGAACCTAATTTGAATTTTACTGAACTATATAGCTCAGTTCATTTTGTCAATTAAACTATTTTGAATTTCCTCCAAAAAATATTTTTTTGGAATGCAGAGATCAATTGATGAAGCACAGAAAAAAAAATTGTTTGCCAATGAGACAACAGTGTTTACACAGAAAATCTCTTGGCGACTCTACCTTGTATTTGCTGACACAGTCTTATGACTAAAATGTAATTTCACTGGTTGACGTTTTCATTACTTAAGATATTTTTGATATTTATTGATTGGTTTAATTAAGTCTTGACTCCCGTATGGTTTGGACTTTTGAGCAGATTTGTTCACTGGGAAATTCGATTCACTGTTTATGCCAGTGTGCTCTGCTTTTACTGTTGCAGCATACATATGATTAACGAGGAAAGATAAATCCATGTTTTTTCAAAGTCTTGCATAGAATAGTTATATCAGAGTTACACATACTCAGAATTAATAAGATTTCAAATAAATCAAGCTCTGACTATTTTTCAATAACTGCTTAATTTGTAGCTTTTGTGAAAAGCAGCTTCTGTGTTCAGTGGTTGTGTTTCAGTTTGGCTTGGGCTCTGGAATAGAAATATTCACAATTAAGTACTTATTTAAAAACATCTCTTTCACAGGTTGAAAGGTGGGAGATATGCAATCAAACAAGTCTTAACACTTGGTGCTGAATCCCACATGCCTCCAACCAGGATCCTTCCTTCCAGCACTTCAATGCTCTCAACACTTGCCAAACACTACCAAAAAAGTCTGGGAAGATTATCATGGCTGCATATCTTGCATCTTGGAACTCAGCAGTACTCAAGTCTTATGGCAAAACCTGTTTTGTGGACTGTCTTGCAATTTTATAGATTACACGAAAGGGAGTATAAGCATATTTGGATTCATATCTAGTTCAATGCATGTTACAAAATGCTTGCTCAAATCTACCTGCAATGACTAATGCAAACCATCATATGCAAAATCCAAAGGAACCGAGGTTCAAAAATATTTTGCAACCTAATTTCAATAATGCAGAGTCTTATTGTATGTAATGTTTTTAAAAAAAAAAAGTTGTGCAAGTGAATTTATGCAGCTCACCAGGGAAAAAAAGCTTCTGGCTGATCTGTTGGACTGGATTTTTTTTAACGGGAGCAGTTAAATTTCTTTAGCCAGAGTATTCATTTGCATTTACAGCACAGCACTTGGAGGTGGAGTTCAAGTAGGCATGAAATAAAACCTACAGGCATTGTCTTGACAGTCCTTTTTTCATTTTAAACTGTTAGATTCAGTGTGACATTAGAGAAGAAGGCAGCAGTAGAGATTAAAGTGAGACAAATGGAGCAAATGTGCAGGCATACTTTAAATGCATCTGGAACAGCCAGTAATTGGGGAAATAGAAGTATTTTTCTATTCTTTGATTTAATATTGCAGTATTGTTATAAATGCCTCTGATTTAAAATCATGACATTTGATGATTTTTCGCCTTTTAATTTGGGAACTATTTTATAACTTTTTCCCTGTAACAAGTTTTTCCTGTGGGTTTTTGTCAAATGCAAATCACTGATTATCATCTTGGATAATAGATAATATAACATACAATTTTTTTTCAAATTTGTTTCCTCACATTATAGGCCTCATTTCTTTTAAGCATTGTATGTTATTGGATGCTGCCCAGTATTGAGTGCGTAATATTGGCAACTATTTATAAAGCCCACATATAATTTTTATCAGTCTTATTTGATTTTGTTCCAGGTTGTTTATCACATAGGATGACTTCATTAGTCAAGCAAAATTGAATAACATTTTGAAGGCATTTATGACTAATGCTTCTGAATATTTAAACTGTAGTATGAAACCAAAGGAGGTAACTTTCTTAATGTTGGTTTGGAAATCTCTCCATTACATGATCCCATAATTTTCATTGGATTTTCATAGGAGTTGTTGGTTTTTGCAGCGGTCATGTTTGAATTGAGCAACAAACTGTGACTGTCAGATAACATCTGCTTATTAACTGGAGAAAAGGCAGATCCCCATTATATTGCGTATGTCAGCTTTCTCCCCAATCTCTGCATGCAATTCAATGAGCAATAACTCTTCTTAGTCCCAATGACCAGGGTAATGCCATTCTTGAGCTTATTGTCAGAAGATACAAGTGAATAATGTAGGCTGGCTTATCCTTCAGCTTTACTTATTGGGTTTATTGCCTTACCCAGGCGACTTGACTAAGATCCAGACCTCACTGCATTGGATGAGGAATTACAGGGAAAATTAAACTTGAAAAGCTTGAATTATGATATCCAATGTAAAAATCCTGAGTTCCACTTGCATACTTTATTCAGTTGTTATTTCCTGTTCAAAATAAATCAATAATGCAAGTCTAAAGAGTCAAATGGACAAACTAACTGCTACTTGTGTTTATAATGGCCAGGTTAATGAGGAATCTCTTTAATTCATTAATGTTTCAAAGCCCCTAAGCACACTGCACAATAATTTCAATACATAATCTTTTGTGACAATAAGAAACTAAGAGATAAAATTGAGTAAGATCTGGTCATGTCAATTTCCAGACCCTCTTGGAGATTGATCATGCACAAAGCCTTCAATTACCACAAAAGTTAATTGCAGAAGTGACAGCTAATCTGATGAAACCTAATTGTATCTGTGGATTAGGATTGTCTAGCAGTGTGGCTGAGAGCATTCAGCAGTCCTCCTGGTTGTGCTTGTCTTATGAGTAATGCAGGGGAGGATTTTGGATTGCTTCTGGCACCATACATGATGCAAGAGGATCCAACTTCTCGAATTAGTTTTTATTTCTAGACTTGTCAATTTTACCTGAATTAGCACAAATTGAGGAAAGTAGTTGTGGACACCATTGAACAACTTATTTTAATGTAGAGGAATTAGTCAGTTTAATGAATTAAAATTGTTTTTGATAGTAGCTAGCAAAGAAATAGTCAAGGGGAACAAGCACATAACTTTTAGAATTCGTATCTTTCCTATTCCATTTTTCTATATTGAACTTTTATAATGGATTTAGCATGTATGTTAACTTCATTTTAAAATACTTCCACGACCAATTTCTTAACCCGTTTTTGGATAGCCAGCAGCATTGCTACTGGGAATGTAATGATAAACACATCTAACTTTAAAAAAAAATATGGAGCAGTATGAAATTACTGTGTTGTTTATTGAACATAAATTCAAGCTTTCATATATCTGATTGCACTCACTGCCATTTGTGTGCCAAGTGCAGTAGTTTTGCCAGAGGTTTCACAGATAGTGGTGTCCTGCAGGCCAACAGAGCAACTCTGTTTCAGAAAAGCAATGCGTGTTTGAACAGGTATTTCTAAGGTTATCTTTTACAAACCCTGCATTAATATAGCATGAACAAGGAGGAAGTTAGGTAATGAAGTCTTCACATGCATTCTAAGTAAAATTGTATGTTGTAACATCAGTTAGGGTTTGTTTTTTGATCTAGTATTTACAGGGTTTGAAAACTTTTGAGATACTTAGGAGTACTATAATATGGGTTTTCATTCTATAAACATGCATCATGACAGACTACATCGACATTATAAAAGATTCTCAAAAAATACAAAGATTCAAATTTTAACACAAATAATAAAAATTGATTACAGGAAGTAAATTTTAAAGGAATGGTGTATTTGATAGTTTCTTTAAAGATTTACAAGTTGCAAATCAGGGCTTAGAATGAAACGAAAATTGAACCTTAAGTAGCTAACCTATAATCAACACTGTACACTGGACTAATACTATTTCCTTTGCTTATTTTTAACTTTTTTTTTCTTTTTACATTCTTCTCAGTGCTTCAGCTCACCTGTGGTGTGTTGTATGCTGAAATATTTTCTGTTGTGGCATCAGTGTGGACTTTGTAACTGAGTGCAGCATGGAAATTTTATTGTTCAGTGTGGCTTTTCAAATATGCAGCCCTTTCATCTTGATCACTTGGCATCCATTGTGCTTCTGTAGTACTGTTGCATTACAGAAGTAAGTGGCTGATCAAATAATGAAGGCTAAATCCACAGTGCATAGCTGCTGAGACAGCATTTAGCGTGCACAATTCCTTTTCTTATAATGTTTGTTTCAAGGAGAAAATAATGGGTAGTGAGGATAAGAAAAATCAACCATGGAAGCCTGCCATGGACAATGTTTAATGTAGAGCACTGTTTAAATCTGGGAGTTTCTTCATGTTACACTGCTGTACATGCACTCATCTGAAATAACGCAATTTATGTTAAGTTTTAAATTTAGTTGCTTTTTGTATTTAAAAAAAAAAACTTGGTAGACCAAATTATGCTTTGTTGCACAAATTTTGACAAAACACTCATTTGGTGCTTTGGCCATTCTTTAGTATTCATACTGCTTACTTTTGGCATTTCAAGTAGTTCCTTGGGATGATTACAGTGTTGTTTCATTAAATGGGTGGAAGAGAGTCCAAAATTTCAGTCTCTTAACATCCAGAAACTTTTGGGTGCCCAAGTTTGGAATTTTTGAATGGCCATCCAACTTTCTGCACTTTGGATTGGGAGACATGCAAGTTCATTCTGAGCTATTGTTGCATTGTTGAAGGAACATGCAAGCTTGGCATACTAATTCTAATTGTTCTCTCAAACGTTCTGGTTTGAAGAAGGTATTGAACTGATTTATAGAATTACATTGGGGATAAAATATACTGCAAGATCTGTAGCCTCATGCATTTTTGAGACTTGGAAATATTCTAAAGCATTTGTCAAAGCTGCTTAGGATAACATATATCATATGCTCAGGGACAGATTGAGAATGACCACCTTGTGTTGAGCTGAAGATTGTGTATTTCACCATGGTTCATGAATACTGTATGTTATAGAAGTGTAATTTCTATTTAACCTAACACCTCATCAATTCCCACACACTCAAACTGGGTGTGTTCCTTCAATGCAGTTCAGTATTCAACTGAAGTAATTTACAGTTAAATACTTGTTCTAAATACTGGGTTGGGGCAAAAGAAGAACTGTACGATAAAAATTAGTAATCAGTATGGATCAATGGGGAAAATGTCTCTTCGTACATTGTATATGTTTGCATGGTCTTTTAAGCAGTTAACAACTGGGTTGACAGACCCTACAAGTGTTGAATCCCAGCCAAGCAATGAAATGCTGTTTTTCTAACCATTTTTTTTAGAGGATGTAGAGATTCTGCTTTTCCCCCCTCCTTTTGCATTAAGAGCGTTTATTGGGAAGCAAACACCATGACCTAATTTGAATTTAAAGACCATTTTAAGGAAACAAAATATGAAGGAGCTACCATCGGTTCTCAGAATCTTCGATCTAACCCCGACCACCACACCACCCTCCCCTTCCCCCCAGCTTGCATTCTTATCAGACTTGGTGTGATTCAGTGTGCACAGCTGCTCAGCAGTAGTCTAGGTGGATGTGATCTGAACTATTTCCCTGTTCTAATTTTTAAAAAAGTTGGGATTTTGAATAGCAGCATCTTACAGAATGAGTAGATTGTGTTTGGTGTGCGGTGTAGTGCTGTATGACAGCTTTTCTGTTCAAAATAAAATGAGCATATGCAACACATAGGCACAGCAGAATCACCCCAGTGAGAGTTACGTACATTTTTGTTAGAGGCACACTTTTTTAAAAATTTGACTTTCAAACACTATGCTTAATAAAAAAAAAAAAATATTATTTTGGTACTTATTTAGTCTCGGTCAGTGTCGTCTTCCGGAAATTAGTTGTAAAGCACCATTTTACATTGGATAACATAAACCAGAAATTCTGACAATTCCTTTCTGAGCCAGTTCAATTATGTGTAAATTCATACATTGTTATTTTTTTAAAAGCAATCTGACAAGTAGATGAGCTCAGATTTAAAAAGAAACTTCAAGGCATGTTTATTGTAACAAGAATTGTTATGTATTAATACTTAAGTTTTCAATAAAGATTGACTTGTGTTGCTTACCTTGTGTTGTGAAGTTACTTGTGCTTTGATCCTGAGAATGGATTTATAGTCCATTAGATGGCATTTAAAGTTTGAGGTCAGCATAATTTAAGGTAAATTCATGCCTGCATTGGGCAAAGTTTTTTTTTTTTTAATGCACAGGATTTGACTGTCACAGCCTGGACCAGCATTTATTGCCCATTCCTAATTGTCCTTAAGAGGTTGGTAGTGACCTGCCTCCTTAAGAGTCATCTAGACTTGAAACATTAGCTTGCTGTCTCTTCATGGATGTTGGCTGACTTGCTATGTTCTCCAGCATTGGTTGTTATCAGTACACATTCCAGCATCTGCATTAATTTTCTCCCACTTGCTGTTACACTTTGGTATATTACCAAGTCAGGGTGGTATGTGACATATTGGGAACTTGCAGGTAATGTTTAGTGCAATTTCAATCTTTAGGCTTGTTTACTGATTAATCTTTGCTACAAAGTACAGTTGACTAGAAATTGAGCTCCACAATCCGCTCATTGGCTGAAAAACTCAGACCAACAGACTACTGATTTCTTTACTCCGAGGGACAACACCACATCACTTTTTTTTCTGAATCTATTGATTTTGAGGCAGTGGTTGGTTGTTATTTGTGTATACTGTTAAACCAATTCAGAAGATGGTAATGTACCATGGGCTTTATTCTCATTACAATATATCTAATTGTGTGGAAGACCACTTTCTACAATTGCAACCATCATTTATAATGGAATAATAACTGAGATATATGCATGTGACAGTAAAGCAGCTAGAATCCTTACAGAAATAGTGTTGCTTAAATTGTCAGTCTGATGCGAACTGCTGCTTTACATTTCTCTGTGTAATTCGAACAAGCCTAAACTACAGTGTTGGCCCATCGCACATAATATTCTCAAACATAATATTAAAACTACTTTGATATTAAACTATTTTTCTTCTCTAACATACAAAAATGAGCTCTATCAATGTATAGCAATAAAACCTTGCAGTGAATATATGAAATAAAAGCTGAAAAAGTTGTGATGCACACTTCTGTGCATTTGAAAAGTTAACAGTCTGTGACACTTGTTCTTCCTGTGAGCTTGATTGGAAGTGAAATACAACAATCTGAATTATTTGTTCCAACAAGTAAGAAAAATTCCAAAGGATAGACCTACTATCCATGGTTAACTAGAAATGTTTAAGGTAGTATAAACCTTAAAGAAAACACATTGTGCAGTGGCTGCCCAGATGACTGGATAGAATATATATATTAAAAAAAAATGTTAAAGGACAGATAAACCTCACCAGAAAGAGAAAGACAAAGTTTTTATAAATATTTAAACAAGCATTAATTAAATGGCGGTTGGTCCTATAGAAAGTGCATCTAGGGAACTAATAGCGGGGAATATCAGGAAATATGAGATGGAGTGAACAGGTATTTTGCTTCAGTCTTCACTACAGAGGATACAAAACAAATCTCCGAAGTAGCAGTAAATCAGGAAATGGAAGGGAGGGAGGAACTGAAGAAAATTACAATCACCAAAAAAGTGGTGCAGAGTAAATTGTTTGAGAAATGTCTGAGTCCTGATGGACTTTATTATGAGGCCTTTAAAGGGCTAGTGAGATAGTTGATTCATCGGTTTGAATTTTCCAAATCTCCCTTGATTCAGGGATGGTCCTATTTGGTTGGAGGAAATGTAACTCCTTTGTTCAAAAGGAGGGGAGACAAAGCAGGAAACTATAGTTAGCTTCATATCAGTCACAGGGAAAATCTTAAACTGCCATTAAAGAAGTTATAGCAGGGCACCCAGATAAGTTCAAAGTCATCAGGCAGAGTCAATGTTTTTTTAAGGAGGAATTACATTTGACCTTTTTTCTAATGAGTTCTTTGAGGAAATAATATACACGGATAAAGGGGAACCTGTAAATATACTATACTTTGATTTCCAGAAGGCATTTGATAAGGTCCGACTAAAAAGGTTATTACGGGAAATAAAAACTCATGTTGTTAGAGGTAGTATATTGAACGGATAAAAAATTAGCTAACAGTGGAAAATAAATAAATAGGTATTTTAAAGGTTGACGAGATGTGACAAATGGTGTGCCACCGAGATCAGTGCTGAGTCCTCAACCTTTTCCAGTTTGTAAAAATGACATGGATGAAGGGCCTAAAGTCACGATTGCCAAATTTGCTGTGAAAGATTAGTGGAAAAGTAAGTTGTGAAAAGGTCGCAGGGTCACCAAAAAGAAAATTGACAGGTTAAGTATGAGAAAAGATATGGTAAATGGAATATGTGGGAAAATGTGAAATTGTCCATTTCAGTGGGAAGAATATAAAAAAAAATCTAAATGGTGAGGTTATAGAGCTTGTAATGTGGAGAGAGTGTACTCATGTATGATTCTCAAAATGTTAGTGTGCAGGTATAGCAAGCAATTGGGAAAGCTAATAGAATAAGACCATAAGACATAAAAGCAAAAGTTAGGCCATTCAGCCCATCATATGTGCTCTGCCATTCAGTCTTGTCTGATAAGTTTCTCAACCCCATTCTCCTTCTTTCTCCCCGTAAGCCTTGATCCCCTTGACAATCAAGAACCTACCTCTGTCTTGCATATGCTCAATGACCTGGCCTCCACAGCATTCTGTGGCAATGAATTCTATAGATTCACCACTCTGGCTGAAGAAGTTTCTCTTTATCTACATTCTGAAGGGTCTTCTCTTCACTCTAAAGCTGTGTCCTTGGGACCTAGTCTGTCCTGGCAATGAAAACATTTTCCTAACATCCGCTCTGCCCAGATCATTCAGTATACTGTGAGTTTCAATTAGATCCCCTCACATTCTTCTAAACTCTGGGTCTATACTCAGAGTCCTCAGATGTTCCTCGTATGTTAAGCCTTTCATTGCTGGGATCATTCTTTTGTACGTCCTTGGGACCTGTACTGGGGCCAGTACATCCTTCCTGAGATATGGGGCCCAGAATTGCTCACAATAATCTAAATGTGGTCTGATCAGAGCTTTATTAAGCATCAGAAGTAGATCCCTGCTTTTATATTCTCGTCCTCTCGAAATAAATTCCAATATTGTATTTGCCTTCCTAACTATTGACTCAACCTGCAAGTTTACCTTAAGAGAATCCAGGACTAGAGCTCCCAAGTCCCTTCATACTTTAGATTTCTGAATTTTCTCCCCATTTAGTCTGTGCCTTTTCTTCCCACCAAAGTGCACAACCTCACACTTAACCATTGCTGTATTCCATCATATTCCATCTGCCACTTCTTTGCCCACTCTCCTAACCTGCCTAAATCCTTCTGCAGCCTTTCTGCCTCCTCAATACTACCTGTCCCTCTACCTATCTTTGTATCATTTGCACACCTAGCCAGAATGCCTTCCGTTTCTACATCTAGTTCATTAATGTATAAAATGAAAAGTTGTGGACCCAACACTGACCCTTGTGAAATACCACTAGTCACCGGTTGCCATCCTTCGAAGAAACCTTTTCATCCCCACTCTCTGCTTTCTGCTAGATAGCCAATCTTCTATCCATGTTAGTACCTAGCCTGTTACACCATAGGCCCTTACCTTACTCAGCAGCCCCCTAGGCGGCAGCTTATTATTATGCATCAGTTATACAGGGTACTGATGAGACCATGTCTGGAGTACTGTGTACAGTATTGGACACCCTACTGAAGAAAGGATATGAATATGTTGGAGGCATTTCAGCAAAGGTCTACTGGACTAATACTTGGAATGCAGGGGTGTGTGTGCGTTGTCAGGTTGCACAGGCAAGGCTTGAGTAAGATATCACTTATTTGAAGTGCACAGCAACCTGAAGGGTCTTGACACGGACATGTGGAGAGGATGTTTCCTCTTATGCAAGAAAGATAACATGTTTTTTACTGAGGAACATGAGTCTTTGGAACTCTTCCTCAACATAGTGGAAGCAGAATCTTGAATATTTTTAAGGCAGAGGTAGATAGATTCTTATAAGCAAGGGCCTGAAAAGTCATCCATGCCAAATTTTGGTAATAGCTACAATGTCCCAGTCCCATGTTCACAAGCCTTGAGTTCATCAGCCTTACCCGTAAAACCTCTTGCGTTGAAGTGAATGCAGTTTAATTCTTCAGTGTTACTTTGTTCTCTGACTTGCTCTTAACTATCTCTTCTAATTAACTGGCTCTTTTCTGTTTCAGAACCATCCTCATCTTTTTGTGTTTTCACTGTTAGTTAGAAAGCCCCCACCCCAGTCTGTCAATGTTTATAGGCTGTCAAAACAGAACTGGTAAAGTTTTCCACCAGGATTTTGGTCCCTTTTCAGGTCATGTGAAACCCATCCTTTTTGAACATGTCTTTTCAGTACCAGGAGAGATCCCAATGATCCAAGAAACTGAATCCCTGCACACTTTGGTGTGGGGGGGTGGGTGTGGAATCTCCTTCACAAATGTAAAAATAACTCTCCATTTTTTGTTTCCTTTTCCTTTTTGTCTTTTTTTCGTGTATGTTTTTAGGAAAAAAGAAGTTTAAAACAGAGAAAAGAAATCTCTCTGCTGCTCAATACTGGACATATATGTGGAGGCCCCTCCCACACAAACATTTTTTTATAAAAACTACTTGTGTTTTTTTTTGTAATTATTTGGACTACAAGGGTTCCAAAATGATTCAAAATAAAAATCTTATGATTCCAAAATGTGAAAACCATAAGAATTATACAAGAAAATCTGCAGCCCAGGAGAAGCTACAATATCCACACCACCATATTGGTGTTACATGTGTCTTAGGTTAATTTGAATCTTTGCACCTTATTCTGTTCTCTAAATGGGTATCATTCCAGATTTACCACATCTGTTACAGGAGCACCTGTGTTCTGACTTAATACAAAAAGGTTAAGGTTTTCCTTTTGGATTTTAGATGCTAAGGTGTGACAGAAACTGACTGCAATACGTTAGCTGTGGTCCAATTAGAGTATTGCAGTTTCAACATGAAATTCTCTGTCTTGTGCTCAGATTTGGCTAAGTC